TAAAAAAAAAAAAAAAAAAAAAAAAACTTTTATTATTTTTTTTAAAGAAAAAAACATATTTTAAAAATATTCACAATAAAAAAAAATTGAAAAATAGTTTTCGTTCAAATATTAATGGTAAAAACATTTTTTGAGTTTATTTTTTTTAAAGGTAATTTATTTTTAAAATTTTAGGATACTTTTTAATCTAATATTATAAGTAAAATTATATATATATATATATATATATGTATGTATGTATGTATATATATATGTATGTATGTATGTATATATATATATGTATGTATGTATATATATGTATGTATGTATGTATGTATTTTTTTTTGGACAAATACAAAATTGTGTGGGTGTTTTTGTTCTAGAAAAAGTTTGAAAATCACAACACGAGCTTCAATACGGCGCCGTGTTTCGAGATATTTTCGAGTTTTGATCGACTGTTGATGAAGGCTCGAGCAGAACAAAGCAACAAAAATGGCGATGTTTGACAAATTGCTCTCACAGGAAGCTTGAAACTCGGCGGAAAAAGAGCATTCTAATTGGAAAATGGTGCAGATTCTTCTCCATTCATCAGCCCCATTTCTTCTCCAGTGCTGTTCTTCTCCTCCTACCTCCGTCAGGTACCATAATTTTCCATATTCTTCATCTTGTCTCTATTAATCTTTGCAGTTTCTTGTGTTTTAGAGGGAGGTTGGATTTGTGTTTAGTTCTGCTTTTATTTGTCTGAGTTCGTTTTTAATTGTAATTGTATTCGTGTTTTTCGGGAATTTGTGTTGGCATTCGGAAATTTCGAACCAGGTTTGGATTGTTGGACTATAATTTGATCTAGAATATACAGGTTTAATACAAGAATTTGAAGTTCTTTCTTAGGTTTTGAAAATGAGAAGTGAATTGTTATTTAGAACTGTGGTTGCATTCAGTTGGGTGATCAAATTCATTGATTACAGACGGTTCTGTGACATCCCTAGTCAATTGGAGAGTTGGAACGAAACATTCCTTATTAGGGTATAGAAACTTCTCCCTAGTAGATGCTTTTTAAAATCATGAGGTGGTTGGGAATGTAGCGCTCTCAGCATTCTGGTCATGACTGTTGGTTCAAACAAATTGATGATCCATTCTATCATCTACTGATTCGTTTCTCGAATTCTTTTTTTCAAATGGTTTTTGTTCTCTTTTCTCATACAGGGGAATGCATAGCAAAGTAATATTGAAAAACAATATTGAGCAACCTCCTCTAAGAAAGCTTGTGTCCCAGCATGTACTATCTGGATTTGCTGCTTCATTGATATTCCTCACTCAACCAAACCAGGTTAGTCAATGGAAGATGTTATTGTAAGAATAACGTTAGCATAGTAGTCACGATTCCGCTTAAAAGCTTTGATTCCATGAGATTCAGTCCAGTTGATTCATACTATATTGGTCCTTTATGTGCAATATGTTAGGAATCACGACTTTCCACAATAGTATGATATTGTACACTTTGAGCATAAACTCTCATTGGCTTTGCTTTGGGCTTTTCCAAAAGGTCTCGTACCAATGGAGATGTATTTCTTACTTATAATTCTATGATCATTCCCTAAATTAGCCAATGTGGGATTCCCTCCCAACAATCCTCGACACAATAATAGTTTCAAATGCTTGAAGATATAAATGATGTGATGAACTTTATGTATAGAACCGAAGCGTCCTGTCTCTTACACTGGTTTCTTGATCAGGCTATCTCAGCCGATCTATCTCGTCACGAAATCTTTTACCAGCTTGCAAGTGCAGAGAATACTGCAAGCCCTCCGTTTGAGAGTGATTCTGATGGAGGAGGGAGATTGATGATGATGAGAGGGATGACAGCAAAAAATTTCGATCCTGTTAGGTACTCTGGAAGATGGTTCGAAGTTGCTTCACTTAAACGCGGATTTGCTGGACAAGGTCAGGAAGACTGCCACTGCACCCAGGTGAGCTTGACTGGTTGGTGTAGCGTATAGGCTTAGTTTCCCCATCTCTTGGAATTGGAACCAACTGATCGAATGATATAGATGAACTTGACTTAACTGGTCAATGTACGACCGTGACCTTACAAGGCTTTTTCGATGAACTTAATCGCTCATTCGAATGATGTTGATTATCAATCAATTGCAGTCCAACAGCCATATGATTCAGTTTAGTCAATTTAGTAATAGCAACCATACTTATGCAGGGTGTATACACATTTGATATGGCAACACCGGCGATACAAGTAGATACCTTTTGTGTTCATGGAAGCCCGGACGGATATATAACTGGGATAAGAGGAAGAGTTCAGTGCCTTTCAGAGGAGGATCTACAGAAAAACGCAACCGAGCTGGAAAACCGGGAGATGATCAAGGAGAAATGTTACCTGCGCTTTCCAACATTGCCATTTATCCCTAAGGAGCCGTATGATGTCATTGCAACTGATTATGACAACTTTGCTTTAGTTTCTGGTGCAAAAGACCTTAGTTTTGTTCAGGTAAATTTCAAATTGCTTCTGTTCTTGAGTTTTGAAACATGATCAGCAGCAACGCTGCCCATCTTCTATTTAAACTGTTTGTTTGATTCTTTTGGACACAAAATCTAACAGATCTATTCAAGAACGCCGAACCCGGGACCCGAATTCATAGAGAAGTACAAGTCGTACTTGGCGAATTTCGGGTATGATCCAAGTAAAATCAAGGACACTCCTCAAGATTGTGAAGTAATGTCAAACAGTCAGCTAGCTGCAATGATGTCAATGTCTGGAATGCAACAGGCTTTGACAAACCAGTTTCCAGATCTTGGGCTAGATGCTCCTATTGCACTCAACCCCTTCACTAGTGTATTTGATACTTTCAAAAAGCTTTTAGAGCTCTATTTCAAGTAGTTTTGTGGCTCAGTTATTGAGCGCTCTGTGTTAGAAACTGATCACGATTCAATCCTCATTAATCATTGGTGATTGATTTAAATGAAATTCAAGTAAAGGTGGTAAGACTGTTGCTAGCATTTCATTGGATATATCGATCATATTAGAGAAAACTCGAGAATAATATGAATAAAGATTCAGGTAGAGATAAAACGATTCGAATTTCTGACTTCATGATTGAATATTTGAACTAGGTGAGCTATAAGTTGACGTCATACATGAAAATATGGGAAGAGAACAAATTACCATCTAACATGTCAAATAACAAAACCAAGCTAGCTTTCTTTCGAACCCACCCGGGCACGAGTTTGATGCGCTATAATGCAATCAACTGTCGACTTCGGGTCGACCGATGAGACTCACAGCCTCCCTTACAGATCCTTCTATACATCATTTGAAACCTGAAAACTAAAAAGATTCTGATAGAAAGCAGCCTATAGGTCTGCAATGCTCATTGAAGAGTCAAGCAAAGGTTTCAGACAGCTTCGAAAACCCGAGTTTTCGGAGTCGACTTGATAGAGGACGGCTAGCCCAAGCTTTATCAGGGTTATTGCACTTTACGTCCACAATTGCAACTGCTCTAAGTCCTTTCCTTTCTGGTTTGTCTCTATAGCCATTTTCATTTGCATGAGTATCAGAACCAAGCATTGGTATCCGGTGGACATCCCTCGAACCAGCGGCCTTAGTAGTGTTATGAGAGTTCCCAAAACTTCTGCTATTAACAGTACTGTATCTTCTACCATTGTTTACCTCATCAAATGATTTAGTTTGTTGCAATCTTTTAGGAATGGAAGCAGCAGATGAACTAGCTGAAGTAGCTGATGAACATTTGTTTTTGGAAGTGACCAACTTCTTGGGGCCGGATCTCATCGTCTCTAATTCCCTTGTCATCAACGAACTAATCGTTCCGGTCGCTCCAACCTTGATGGATCCTCCGCCACCTTTGGTAGATTGCGGTTTTAGAACCATGTTTTATGTCAAGTGAGCAAGAATCTCCCACGAGGGAAGAGGAACACCTTCGAGACTTGCCGTGAAAAACGACAAGGTTTCGAGTAATCTGACAGCCTGCTAGTGTATCTTCTCCTGAAAAAAAGAGAGCAAACGATAAGAATTGATCGTAACACAGGCGATCCTACTGATTAGAGCTGTGCGAGACTTGGTGACTCATGAGCGGATAAATTTATACTTGAAGTTAAGCATGAAATCTGTGCTCTACTTGAAGATCAGAAATATCAATTTCATAATCAATCCATCAGAGAATCATACAGGGAGGAGAAAACCAGAAGACAGAGAAACTGAAGGAGCAGAATGTAGTATGTTCCAAGAGTTAGACTGTTCGTCTATTAAAGCAATATGTGAGTTGGGTTTAGAATGTCGTGAGACATTTCGGTCCATATCCAATGTGGGCGTACAAAGAGTGACGGTGACAGAATGGAATGGTTAAACTGTTTCTAGAAAAGCAAACAGCTAACATGAAACAACAATGAAGGCCCCTCATCCAGAAATGGGGGAGTTTTTTTTGGTAAGGAAAAGATGGTAGAGGTTAGAAAAGCATTCACAAAAGGATCTATTTCGAATCTATCAAACCTCCCATTAACGAACACGATTCATTTCTCCTACCGAAACTCAAAAAAGTTATAAACTCAAGCAAATGATGCAAATAACGAGGATCATTTTGTAACAACCCAATCCCACAACTAGCAGATATTATTCTTTTCGAGCTTTCCCTTCTAGGTTTCCCTTCAAGGTTTTAGAATGTATCTACTCGAGAGAGGTTTTTACACCCTTATAAGGAATGCTTCGTTACCTCTCGAACCGAAGTGAGATCTCACACATTTTCACTGAAATAGGTAGGCGCCATTCCGAACAAAAGTGGCATCTATACATAGGAAGGAAGCCATATTTGCTATCCATAAGGCATTAGTTTCATGGGAAAACATCCTCCTGCCCCACACAATTGGTATCATTCCATTAAGATTAGGAGTTATCCACAAAAACGAAACCCACAATTGGTATCATTCCATTAAGCTTTAGGAGCCTCTCTAAAATACATCAACATCACATCAACAGCCATAGTTAGTGAGCTTCAATCACCAAAAAAGGTTACTCACCAAAACCATTCAAAAGATGTGCCAAAGAAGAAAGAATCAAACCATAAATCACTTCACAAGAACAAAAGAAACCCCAAAAGAATCATAATCGATATCTATTAATCAACAGAAACTGAAAAAATCAAGAGAAAAAACACTTCACCGATCATGAGAGTGAGAAATAGAACAAACCCAGAAGAGAATATCAGCAAAATCCGCAGCCAAGAAGGGAAGAAAAACGAAACGAACCACAAAAACAGGGGAAATCAGAGGTGGGTGTTCTTGAGTGATTGAGATCTCAAGTTGGTAAACACTAAAACGTGAACCTCACTGCAATTTTCGGCTTGAAAAAAGTTGGGTTATCCTCCTCGCTTTCGCCACAATTTTTACGTTCGTAATATCCATTTTTCCCATTTTTTGTAAATGTAAAAATTCATTTTTTTCTTTATTTTTTTAAAAAATAAAGTAATAATAATTAGTTAATCATTCTTGTGGTTGATTTTTGCATTATAATATATAGTGAGCCAAATATATAGACATTTCTCCAATAAATTTATGAACTCCTAACACGAATATGAACGTGGTTTCCACTTTCCATCTCCATTTCTGTTGTTGTTCTTCCTTAATTAACGCTTCCCATTATCAACAACTCCGTTTGGCTTAGTGGGTCTTATGATTTTGGCATTAGTCGGGCCATTTCTTGTAGAATTATCCATAAGAACTTTGAATCTTGCGGGAAAAAGCAGTTAAAACAGTCATATAGGTCTCGTTTTTGCTTTCAATTCGAAAGAGCTTCGTGGGTTTAGCTCTCATTTCAACTTTGATTGCTGACCCAATTCGAATCCTGCTAATTTTCTTCTTCTTGTTCCTTAACCTACATTGATGCTTTGAACGAGTCTCCGCCATTGTTGTTGTTCATCAAAATGAGTTCTCAAGCACCCAAGTCGTCGAAACCCTCAAAACCCCCAAATCAGTCGCTACCCATATCAAGATCCTCGGCTTCTTCTCTGTCTTCCCATCTCGCCATGGTTGAACTCAAGCAAAGAATCCTCACCGCTCTCTCTAAGCTCTCCGATCGAGATACCCACCAGATCGCCATTGAAGACCTGGAGAAAATTGTCCAGTCCATTTCCCCGGAAGCTATTCCTATGCTTCTCAATTGCCTCTACGACTCCTCTGCTGACCCTAAACCCGCTGTGAAGAAAGAGTCATTGCGGCTTCTAACGGTTGTTTGTGCTACTCATAGCGATTCTACTTCGACCCATTTGACTAAAATTATAGCCCACATTATAAGGAGGGTTAAGGATTCGGATTCTGGTGTGAAGGAGGCGTGTAGAGATGCCATTGGAGCACTGTCGGCGCAGTACTTGAAAGAGGATAGTTCTGGCGGTGATAATGGTGGTCTTGGCTCTGTTGTTGCATTGTTTGTTAAGCCTCTGTATGAGGCAATGGGAGAACAGAACAAGGTGGTTCAGTCTGGTGCTGCATTGTGTATGGCTAAGATGGTGGAGAGTGCGGCTAGTCCGCCCATCACGGCGTTTCAGAAGCTTTGCCCCAGGATCTGTAAGTTGCTCAACAATCCCAATTTTTTGGCAAAGGCTTCACTCCTTCCTGTGGTATCCAATCTATCACAGGTTCGTTTTACTCTGTGTAGAGTTGATTTTCTTGATGTTTGCATCATGGTATGATAGTTAAGTTTAGATTCATGAAGAACTGATGATATTTAGAGGTGGGTGTTAGTATTTTGATAGTTAAGTTTAGATTCATGAAGAACTGATGAAGTTAGCAGCATGCTGTTTAGAAACGTAGTTGAGTTCGATATCAAGATCTGTCACTTGAATGTGAAAAGGATGAACAAACTTGTAACAGCCCAAGCCCACTGTTACTAGATATTGTTCGCTTTGGTCCATTACGTATCGTCATTAGCCTCACAGTTTTAAAACGTGTATGTTAAGGAGAGGTTTCCACACACTCATAAAGAATGTTTCATTCTCCTCTCCACCTGATGTAGAATCTCACAATCCACCCCCCTTGGGGCCTAATGTCATCGCTGGCACACCGTTCGGTATCTTGCTCTAATACCATTTGTAACAGTCCAAGCCCACTGCTAGTGGATATTGTCCGCTTTGTCCCATTACGTATTGCTATCAGCCTCACAATTTTAAAACGCGTTTGTTAGGGAGAGGTTTCTATATCCTTATAAGGAATGTTTCGTTCTCCTCTCCAACCGATGTGAGATCTCACAATACATCCTCATTGGAGCCCAACATCCTCGCTGACACACCGCTCGGTGTCTGGCTCTAATACCATTTGTAACCGCCTAGACCCACCGTTAGCAGATTTTGTCCGCTTTCGCCCGTTACATATCGTTGTCAGCCTCTCGGTTTTAAAACGCGTATGTTAGGGAGAGGTTTCCACAACCTTATAAGAAATGTTTCGTTCTCCTCTCCAACTGATGTGAGATTTCATAAAACTATCTATATTTTCACCAAAGAATCATGAACAGGCAAAAGAGTAATATTAGAAACCAAAGAGGCAAAAGAAAAATTACAAGAAACATGCTCATTTGAATATATCTACTGATGGATTTTTTACCTTATATTAGAAACCAATAATGAATTATGTTAATAGGCTCGTGGAACTTGTTTTAGGTTGGTGCTATTGGACAACAGAGCTTAGAACATTTGCTACCAAGCATTCATGAGTTGCTTGGGAGCACTGATTGGGCAACACGCAAGGCAGCAGCTGATGCACTAAGTGCTCTAGCATTGCATTCAAGCAATGTCATCACAGATGGAGGTGCCGCCACTTTGGCAGTACTTGAGGCCTGCCGTTTCGACAAGGTAACTTTTTACTTCCATTTGTGTTTCACTCACCCTGCTCTATCTCTGTTTAAGCTTTATTATACATGAACTTTTCAAATCTGTGTGTGGTGAGACAGTTGGAGAGGTTGAACTTGAAGCTTTTGGTCATGTTTTAGTGGCTGCTTGACTGCTGTTTATAAAGATAAAGTTGAATTCTTTGGATGGTTGATATCAATGGCCTTTCTATGGGGTATTTGGTCAGAAAGCATGGTTGGGTAGTAGAACAAAACATTATTTATAAGGGTGTGCAAACCTCTATCCCTAGCAGACGCGTTTTAAAACCTTGAGGGAAAGCTCAAAGGAGACAATATCTGCTAGTGGTGGGCTTGGGCTGTTACAAATGGTATCAGAGCTAGACACCGGACGGTGTGCTAGCAAGGACGCTGGCCCCCCAAGGGGGGTGGATTGTGAGATCTCACATCGGTTGGTGAGGGGAGTGAAACATTACTTATAAGGGTGTGAAAACCTCTCCCTAGTAGATGCGTTTTAAAACCGTGAGGTTGACGGCGATACATAACGGGCCAAAGCGGACAATATCTGCTAGCGGTGGGCTTGGGTTGTTACCGTTAGAGAAGTTGAACTTGAAGCTTTTGGTCATATTTTTGTGGCTGCTTGACTGCTGTTTATAAAGATAAAGTTGAATTCTTTGGATGATTGGCATCAATGGCCTTTCTATGGGTATTTGGTTAGAAAGCATGGCCGTGAGATCCCATATTGGTTGGGAAGTAGAACGAAACATTCTTTATAAGAATGTGGAAACTTCTCCCTAACAGACGCGTTTTAAAACCTTGAGGGGAAGCTTGGGAGGGAAAACACAAAAAGGACAATATCTGCTAGTGGTGGGCTTGGACCGTTACACATGGTATTAGAACCAGACACCGGACGATGTGTCAGTGAGGAGGCTGAGCCTTGAAGGAGGGTGGACACAAGACGGTGTGCCAGCAAGGATGCTGGCCCCGAAGGTGGAGGATTGGGGGGTCCCACATCGATTGGAGAGGGAAACGAGTGCTAACGAGAATGCTGGGCTCCGAAGGGGGTGGATTATGGGATCCCACATCGATTGGGGAGGAGAACGAAACACTCTTTATAAGGGTGTGGAAACCTTTCCCTAGCAGACGCGTTTTAAAATCTTGAGGGGAAGCCTGGAAGGGAAAACCCAAAAAGGAAAATATCTATTGGCGGTAGGCTTGAGGCGTTACAATGGCGGTTTCTGATTGTAATGGAATGAGGTTTACAGATCTCTTTAGTTCACATTTCGGGCGATTTTTTCCCGTGGCCCTGGTGATAAGAACTCGAGTTATCCGAGGAAAGGTGCTCGAGGTCCTGGAAAAGGCATTTAGAGCATATATGATGTTCGAGTAATGGTACCCAGTTTATTTTGACAGATAAAACCTGTTCGGGATAGCTTGACAGAGGCACTACAGCTATGGAAAAAACTTGGTGGGAAAACAGATGGAGCTGCAGAAATCCAGAATGCATCTCAAGGTGTACCTTATTTTTCCCTGGTCTCCTCTTACTCTTGTTCCATTTTGATGTGATTTTCTTGCTATAAATGTTTCAGATGGTGAAAACCATGAACCAGCACAGTCATCCGACCTTAAAAGTGCAAATTCCCCTCCGGGAGCGCGGTCACTGGACAAAGATAAACCCGAGGATTCCGTTCCTGTTACAAATTCAGCTTCGAAAACCAAATGCAGTAGTATTTCGGATAAAGCAGCTGTAATATTGAAGAAGAAAGTACCTGCTTTAACTGACAAAGAGTTGAATCCAGAGTTCTTTCAGAAACTTGAAACTAGAGGGTCCGGGGATTTGCCCGTGGAGGTGGTTCTTCCTCGGAGACACGCCAGTTCTTCGAACGCAAATGATGAGAAATCGGAGTCAGATGATGCAAATGCTGGGAGAAGATCAAATCGTGTTGAAAACAACTCTGATGATTTTCAGAGAGCATTCAACAAGTTTCGAGTCTCCGAACGAGGCGAAACTGCTTCTCATTCTAAGCTGCAGGACTATGATAAGTGGCATGAGGGGAAAATAAATGGACGAGACGCCAGAACAAGAGCATACAACGTGAACGATCAAATTGACGATATATCTCAACGGGAAGCTTCAGGCGCCCGTTCGGACTTCAAAGGAAGTTGGTCTGCTATCCAGAGGCAACTATTGCAGCTGGAGAGACAACAGGCACATTTGATGAACATGTTGCAGGTACATATGTTATATGTGGGGTTAGTTCTCGAATTCGATATAGATATTTGATGCATTCTATATCTCAGGATTTCATGGGAGGCTCTCATGATAGCATGATCACTTTGGAAAATCGAGTACGTGGTCTCGAGAGGGTTGTCGAAGACATGGCCTGTGATTTATCCGTATCATCAAACCGGAGAGGTAATTTTGCTCTAGGATTTGAAGGATCGTCTGGTCGGAATTTAGGCAAGTATAGTGGTTTTTCGGACTACCCCGGTGCGAAGTTTGGACGAAATAATGATGGGAGAGTTTCGTTCGGAGAGAGGTTCATTCAACCAGAAGGAACTGGTTCAAACATGAGAGGAAGGAATGCTGGATGGAGACCTGATGTGAATGATGCTAGAGATTATCCAGCTTACGTGTCGAGAAACGGGCAGATGGGCTCTAAGAGACCGTTAGATGGCGGTATCGACAATAGGTCATCTAGATCAGAACAGGAAAGCGACCAAAATGGAGGTGGTAACAGAAGAGCCTGGGATAAAAGACTTGGTGAGGGGCCATCTGCTAGAAGTGTTTGGCAAGCATCAAAAGACGAAGCAACGTTAGAAGCCATTCGGGTGGCCGGGGAAGACAACGGAGTATCCAGGACTCCAAACGTGGCGATTCCCGAACTGACTGCAGACGACAATGCCAGTCGAGAACGAGATCCCGTATGGAGTTCATGGACTAATGCAATGGATGCCTTCCAGGCAGGTGATATGGACACAGCATATGCTGAAGTCCTGTCGACAGGGGACGACATCTTGCTCATAAAGCTAATGGAAAGATCCGGTCCTGTGGTCGACCGAGTTTCAAACGAGACAGCCATCGAGATCTTGTGCGCTGTGGGACAATTTGTAGTCGAGCTGAACTTGTTCGACGTATGTTTATGTTGGATTCAACAGTTGGTAGAAATAGTTACGGAGAATGGAGGTGAATGTTTGGGGATTCCTATGAAAGTGAAGAAACAAGTGTTGTTGAATTTTCATGAAGCTTCTTCAACAATGGAACCTCCTGAAGATTGGGAAGGAGCTTCACCTCATCAACTTTTGTCACAGTTGGCCTCTGCTTGGAGAATTGATATTGGACAACTTCAATAGGGTATCATGGAAACTAAAACCCGAAAATCGAGTCACAAATGCCTTAGTTCTTACCCTCTACCCATCGGATTTTTCGAGCTATGATTGCTTTGTGTTAGCATTTAACTAATTTTGTTCAAAAAAATTGACGTTTCTCTTAGTTGAAGCTAGTGCAAATGATAACTCAAATCGATAAAAAAATAATATTTTCGAGTGGATTTAGTAATAAGTTTTCAAATATTAGTTTAATTTGGCGTGATATAGGTATTAACTGCACCAACGCTTGTAAATGTGAGCATGTGCTAGCCTTCAGTCAGATCTAGTGGGTACGCTTAAAAGCCCACCTAGTAGGTTCATGAACACGTGCATGAACCGTGTTTAGCCAACTTACCTAGAAAAAAAAAGTAGAGTCTAGTAGATAGTCATGGAAAGTAGTTTCACCATGAAACATGATTGCATATGATTGTATTTTTCGACCTTACCAATGAGGTCACGTATTGAGTATTTTTTAAATACTTCGACACGTTTAACATTTTTCTGTATAAAGGTAAAAGTCTCATGTACGAACGACAACATCAATTCAAGAGAACATGAAATCAAATTACCTGCCGTTAAATTTATGCGTCTTTATGTTAAGATAAATCAATGACGCTTTTTTATTATTAGATTTGAAAATAATTTATAAACATTTAAGTCTATAGAAAAAATCAAAATAATTTTTTAAAACTATTTTTCACAGTTTTAATAAATATAATTATTTAATTTTAAATATAAATTTAAAAAACGAATATTTGACTTTAATTTTTAATAACAGAGGCCTATCTCTATCAGAGCTCCGCTGTGTCACTCTGACTTTAATTTTATTTTAGTGGTGAATATTGTTTTCTGAAATAAATTATTATTATTATTTATTTAAACTATTAAATTATAAATTTAATACATGAAAATTATTTTTGTAATAATATTAAATAATATGTGACTGATTTATAAGAGTATTTAACCTTGATGAATAAAGGAAGTCAACTATTACGTGTCAAAGTCAAAATTTCAAACGGTCACCCTACTAATAGTTCGGGAATGAATCAGGACAAGAGCTTCTGGACTTGTGCAAATTTATTTTGTTCTAATCACAAAGAATCGAGGTAGAGACAAAAACAAAGCAAAGGATTATAATAATTCTAATTTATTTTTCCGAGAGAGAGGCAAAGGTCAAACGATATTGAGGTTGACTATAACGATCTTCCCTTCACTTACATAAATTTTAATTTTACAACTAAACATTTATAAATTCAGTTATAATTTTAGGAGTAGGATAGAGTTGAGTTGGATTGTAACCTTATTTTTTAGTTGATCGAATCAAAACGTTAAACCATGAACTGATATGAATCACGACAAGTTGGAGGTATGTTTGGTTATGCTTATGATTGTGAGCTGTTTTTAACCAGCAATGTTATAAGTTGAGCTCCACCCATTTACGGCATTAGTTCATATAATCATAACATAATCTCCAAAATTTTGCCGATTATCACATGAATCAAAGCCAATGGTTGACTGAAGAATCAAATGAAAAATTGCGTAATCGCTTTTCCCAATCTTTTGTAACCCATTGCGTGCTTCATCTGCCAATCTCTTTCACTCCTTTCTTCAAATTACTCTCTTCCCCTAATTTCTTGAATATTCCATCCATGGCTTCTTCGTGTTCTTCGATTCCCAGAACTTTTCTTCTTGTTTCCATCGTGGGTTTTCTTCTTCCTTCGCAATCCCTGGCCCTGAAATCGTTGTTTGACCCTCGCGACGTGCTTCCGCTACTACCCAGTCAGGTTTCATGGCCGATTCTCAACTATCTCAACAACGCCGCCGATCTTCTTCCCGCTTTCGTCGGAAGTGTCTCGTCTCCTGAGAACTCTATTCAGTGGCAAGGGTCTTGCTTCTATAACAACTCTGCGTGGTTGGAGTTTCATAATAAGTCTGGCTCTGAATATGGCGGTGGTACGCTCCATATAAAGGTCGATACGAGCTTTGTTTTAGTTTTGATTTTGTGCTTTTGATATCAATTAGGAGATTTGGACAAAATCTTGTGTTGTTTGTTCATTGTATTGTAGCTGAATTTCTGCTTCCCGACAGTGTAGGGCCGTTAATTCGATAAGATAAACCTAATTTGAGTTTGTGAGTTCTTGATTGATTTATAAGTTTGATAGCAGTTCGTAAGTTGGAAGAATTAAGCTCGAAGTTTATATGATCCGTATCATTTATCTTGCTAGATAGCAGTTCGTAAGCTCGAGATTTTTTTCTCTTTGGATTATTTGTTTGTGCTTTTATGAGCTGTGGATGCCCTGGCAATCCTTCATTTATTTGTTTTTTTCTGTTCGATCTTTATAGAAAACTAAGTTCATCTTAAAAGCTTGTTTGTGTGTTTTTTGATATTTGGTTTCGGGTTGTGGATTGTGAGATCGCACATTGGTTGGAGAGGAGAACGAAACATTCTTTATAAGGGTGGAAACCTCTCCCTAGCATATGCGTTTTAAAATTTTGAGGGGAACCCCGAAAGAGGGAAGCCCAAAGAAGACAATATCTGCTAGCAGTGGGCTTGGACGATAGTGATTAGCCAAATAACAAAGAGTTAGCTGTTATTAGTATTATCTTGTTGTTGCAGCCCTCTAGCATGTTTGAAGGATATGACTGCCAGTTGCAAGTTTAATGCAGCTTCAACAATTAGTCTATGTCGTATGCAGGCGAATGATGCACACAGTTGGACGTGTATGGATTTTTATATCTTCGCTACTCCATACCGTGTGACGTGGGATTACTATTTCCTGGCCAGAGAACATACTCTTGAGATTGCAGAATGGGAAGGAAAGGAAGAATTTGAATACGTAAGTTGCTCGTTGACAAGACGACTTTCTTAAACTAAGTCACTTCCTTTTAAACTTTGGTTGTTTCTTCTGAAATCAGGTTAAAAAGGCAGGGGTTTCGATTTTCCTTTTGCAAGCTGGGGTTTTGAAAACCTTTCAAGCATTGTTTGATGTGCTCCCTTTGTTTTCGACGACCGACTACGGCGAGAAATCTAATATCAAATTTCTTGAGAATCACATGGGTGCTACATTTAAGGAACGTCCTCGTCCATGGACTACAAGTGTTAATGTTGATGATATTCAATCTGGAGATTTTTTAGCTCTATCCAAAATTCGCGGTCCGTGGGGCGCTTTTGAGACTTTGCAGAAGTGGGTTACTGGATCATATGCTGGTCATTCTGCTGTTTGCTTAAGGGACCCTGAAGGAAAGCTGTGGGTTGCTGAATCTGGGCGTGGAAATGGAGTGGTATGTTTATGAATCCTAATCTGTTTGACATAACTGTGAGTTCTCCAAAGATTACAAATGTGTGCTCTTAATCTTCTTGCAGGAGGATGATATTATTGATGTTTTGCCATGGGATAAGTGGTGGGACTACGAACTCAACAACGATTCGTCCAATCCCCACATTGCGTTTCTTCCCTTGCATCCCGACTTGCGGGCAAAGCTAAACGAGACGGCGGCGTGGGAGTATGTAAGGAGCATGGTCGGGAAACCATATGGATATCATAACTTGATATTTAGCTGGATTGATACCACACATGGAAACTATCCACCTCCCTTGGATCCCCATCTGGTATAAATATTTACTTATTTTACTGTTTTCTTCATCTCAAGGTTTGGACCTGTTAGTAATGATGCATCCACCTCCCTTGGATGCCCATCTGATACCATGTTAATTCCTAGTTGTACTGTTTTAGAGTCCAATGATTGCCATCCTATCAACGTGACTAAAAAGGGATTGTGTAAATTGAAACCGAATATCCATTTGTGGGCTTCGATGACTGTGATATCCTACATTGGTTGGGGGAGAACGAAACACCCTTTATAAGGGTGTGGAAACATTTTCCTCGTAGACGCATTTTAAAGCCTTGAGGGGAAGCCCATAAGGAAAAGCTCAAAGAGAACAATATCTACTAGCGATGGCCTGGGCCGTTACAAATGACGTAATTGCCCATTAGATCTCATTTAACTTGATTGGAGGATGTTTTTTTAGCTCGATTCCCTTTCTTTTTGTGCTTTTTTTGGGATGCCCATAAACTTTTCTTAAGGACGTTAATATTTAACTTGGCTCTCAGTAATCAGTATGGCTCCTCATAAAGGATCATTTAATTCTTTGACTTTGATTGTTGGCATTGGACTACAGGTTGCTTCCGCTATGACAATATGGAAACAAGTCCGGCCAACCCTTGCTGCGAACTTGTGGAATGAGGCTCTGAACATACGACTTGGAACAAAGGTAGCTATAATGCTTGTCTAGTTAAAATGAAAAAGCTTTTATAAGAAATCTTAGGTTTAGCCGTCGTCGGAGTATGACTGCAATCGATCTTGTTCCTTCGTTCTAACTGTTATTACTTTAAATAAGTCAAATTTAGATGGGTTTAGGAACTGAGCAAGTATGAGGTATCGAATTCTAGTTGAAGTTGTTCTAACTGCAATCGATCTTGTTCCTTCGTTCTAACTGTTATTACCTTAAATAAGTCAAATTTAGATGGGTTTAGGAACTGAGCAAGTATTAGCTAGCAAATTCTAGTTGAAGTTGTTCTAACTGCAATCGATCTTGTTCCTTCGTCATCGGAGCATGTATTCCACGTCGTGGAGTTGAATATGTTTAGTCGTTTTCTTTTCGTTGCAGGATCTTGACCTTCCCGAGATTCTAGTTGAAGTTGAAAAGCAAGGATCATCTTTTGGCGAACTACTGGCTATTCCTGAACAGGATGATTGGATCTATGCCGACGGGAAATCAGCATCTTGTGTTGCTTTTGTCCTTGAAATGTACAAAGCGGCTGGGCTGTTCGGACCACTCGCAAACTCAATTCAAGTTACAGAATTCACAGTAAGTTACAGAATTAGTGAGGCTAATGTTGTTTATCTGCTTGAATGTGGTTTGAGTGTTTGATGTTCTATCCATCTAAAATGCAGCTAAAAGATGCATATACTCTCAACTTTTACGAGAACAATTCGAGTCGCCTTCCGAAGTGGTGTCATGGAGGGGATCATGTCAAGCTTCCATATTGCCAGATTCTCGGAAAGTATCGAATGGATTTACCGGGTTATAATAGCATCGATCCCTATCATAATATGAACGAAAGGTGCCCTTCTCTTCCAACTGAGTATTACCGTCCAAATAATTGCTAGAAACCTCCTGAAAATTTGATTTCCTCTGGGTAGTCTGTGTAGAATATTTGATGATTTTAAGTAGTTCATCAGTGTAGCTGCTAAAGGTTAATAATATGAACTGTAAATACACTAAACACGATTCCCAATGTAAAATAGCTGTTAATTTGATGATCATATGCCTTAGATCATGAGGAATGCACGTCTGTTTCGTGTTTCAAGTATGTCTGATGACTTCAATTGTCAGCTTCTCGTATCTTTATCATGATCAGATCATTTGTAAATGCCCATATCTTTATCTCATCATCTTGATCAGATCATTCATCCGTAAGATTTGTTAAAATGATGAAGGGATGTTATTGTGAATCTTTTTATCACTGTTTGCTTCACCGAACAATTTTTACTCCACGGTGTTCGTCTTTCTTTCATATTAATCTCTTGAGACTCCAAGGGGTTCGTTTTTTAGGACAAAATATTTCTCCATTAAGTGACCGACGACTCGAGAATATCTTTAGTAGTTGAGAACATTGATTTTTTCTATTTCTTTTAGCCACTTACACTTTGGAACTCCAGTCAGTTGTGTGTGCCCAATAGATGTTCGTACATGTTAGGAATGACATGATTAAGAAAAAAATAGTTTTTCTTTTTATTTCATTCAAACAGCTTTCATTTTCTCGTCGTGTTTTTTCTTTTATAGACGACTTGAGAAGGATGGTACTGATAACCATAGGCTCTTTTGAAGTCACCTCGATATCATTTCATTTGTTTCTTATGTTTAAAAGTAAAATGTCTTTATCTCGATAACTAGCAATATTAAGCTTCATATTATGGCCACGAGTTGCTAATTCTTTAAAGGTGTGAGGCTTCATACCTTGAAAGATGTACAAAAGTCCCCGATGCATACCTTGAATACACATTTCGATTACAAATAGTTCGGTGTGTTAATTTTTATCATTCGAGATTCATGATTTTCTAACGGTTTTCTAACGATTTATATAATTGACAACAAATTTACCTTTTTATTGTCTAGTGTAGTGAGCTCAAACGTGCTACGTATTAGTTTTGTGCTACAAATAGGTCCTAACCAAGTTAGTGTACTTGTTTGAAGGCGTTCCCCTTCAATGTTTGTACGAGTTGTTTGACCAATAGATCTCCTCGTGTACCGTCTCGATGAAATGAGTAACATGTTTAAGGTTTCCTTTTCTATTAAAAGTGAAACTCATAAATCTTAGAAAGTTCAAGAACCGAATTTAAAAGTGATTTTAAACCCACTCACAAGCAAATACAATTATCCTGATTCTTCGACATCTAAAGAACCTTACATCTTGTCCTCATGCTATCTTAGTTCCCTCCAAATTAAAGGTTTCAAACAGTGTTTTGGTACATCCTCTGCATATTTGAAAAAAGACGAACAACCAGATCATTACCTAAAAAACCTTGTAAAATATAATCCACAATGTGAAAATATCAGCAAGATTCATTCTTCAGCAACCAGCAAGTTCGATTCAGAGCTATAAATCTAATGACAGAGGCAAAGAGAACAAACTAAAACTTGTAATATAATCCAAACATTTCCCAGAAAATTTGATTCCAAAGTAAGAACACATGTAAAAGAACAGACTTGTGAAGCGACATCACAACTCAGAGCTCAGCCGATAAAACACGATATACTTGAAACAAGAACTCTGTAAGCTTTTAACCCCAACTTGTTCATAATCACTAACGAACATTCATTCAGTTTATATGTCAACATTCACAGAGTTAGCAATAAACAGCAAATCAGTGCATTAAAACATCGTTCGAGTTTTTCGTGTGATCCAATGCATTTTCTATATCAAGTATCAAAGTAAGTAATCGAAATCATCACTCAGCCTTGGGAGAAATATGGTTGCCACCAGTTGCGAGCTTGTACAAGTAGAATAAAGTCATGAGAGAACTGCAAGAATAACAAAACGGAAGTGTAAAATATGTATTAGCTCCAAGAACCTCAAATATTGACCTTGTGTCATACATAAAACCAGGTGACTTCAGAGTTCTAGAAAGCACTTCAAGTTTGGATATCCAGAAATGAGTTTGGATATGGAGAAAGTAACCAACGAAAAACTATACTATATACAGCATTGCTATGTTCTTTTGATTGAGATGTAAACAGCAGAAGAAAAGGTTTAGTTTCAGTCAAAAGAAATGCATGGCTTGAATGATCTTAGACGAAGAAGACGATCGTGTTACCTGATTCCAGCAACAACTCCAGCCGGCATGATCTTAGAAGTCTGCAAATATCGCTGTCCCATAACCCACGTGAGCGCAGTGGCACATACTGTTTCAAGGCAAATTATGTCATTGTTACCCTTATGGCTACCATTCTTTTCCTTTCTAATATAAGAAACCAATTTCAATGAAGGAATGAAATATATGAAGGAAAATAACCAAAAGCCAAGGAATTACAAAAAGCTGCCTATAGTAGGCACAAATGTAGGGCTTGGGCTGTTACAAATAATATCAGAGCCAGACACCGAGCGGTGTGCCAACGAGAACATTAGGTCTCCAAGGTGGGTGGATTGTGAGATCCCACATCGGTTGGAGAGAGGGGAATGAAGCATTCATTAGGAGGGTGTGGAAACTTTCCCAAGTAGACGTGTTTTAAAATCGTGAGGCTGACAGTGATACGTAGCGGTCCAAAGCGGACAATATCTACTAGCAGTGGGCTTAAGTTGTTACACAAAGAGGTCTGTTAACTTTTCATCGTAGCATTACCAAAACAGAATGCTCCTGAACGACGTAAATTGAATCAACTCACCCCAAAGAATTTGCAAAGCACTCCATAAGAACAATCTAGTCATATTAACAAGGAGGATTTTAGACTTCTTTATTAGGAGATGATGCAAAGCAGTAAAGACAAATCTTCATAGGGTCGATAGGAAAGATCATGCTGAGGCAAAAAGATTCAAGAGCTTGATCTAAAGATTAAGCAAAAGGGGACACCAAAGGAACAAGTGTCCTCTTCCTTCTTACACAGACTACATCAAGAAGTCTCCAAACAAAGACTTAAATCTTCTTCGAGCTATTGCTCTTCCACATAATCCTGCACAATTTTGAAGGAATCACCACCTTACCTTCAGATAAATCCACAAACAAAGGTCTTAAAGAGAATAGCCAAGAGCCACACTTCCAGCTTCAGCTACCTTTGATGGTTACAACGATTTTCCCACTTTTGAATTAGTCACCACTCAAAGGCCTCTTCATTCATTTTCCTTCTAGGATCGAGGTTTCGAAAACGTAACGAGCTTCTCGAGGAGAGATCCATCAGAGTGGCTGAACAATAGAGAAGAAAAACAAGGAGGGGCAGACAGAGATTGTGTCTTCTGAAGAACCAACACTTAGAAGGCACAAATCCTAACTGGGAAACTTTCCCCTTGCTTTAAACAAACGGATCTGAATCATTTCAGACTTAACTATTTTACAGACACACACGCAAGAAATATATATGGTTTACATCAGTTCCCCACAATTCTCAAGTTCTGGAAAGCCAACCATGTTTTGAAATGTCCATATGCCATGTCTAAGCATGGTGTGTTGCGGCCTTCTTAACAATTTAAGCTAGCTGAAGAACAGAACAGTAATAGGAATCGAAACAAAAAGAACTTCGTAACTTATTTACCAGAGGTTACATATAAATGTATGGTATAATCGATTACATCAGTATAGATTAAACAGCCAAAACCTCACGATATAAGCGTCTCTAGTTTGCAGAAACAAGAACACTAAAACATCACAAAGGAAATCCGAAACGAAGTAACATATTGAGAGGAGAGGATCCGATTGATCAAGGTTCTATAATAGAGAAAACTAGCAGGATCACTAGTTTCAAACAAGATCTTCAACCCCAGAAGAACAAAAAACAAGATCTTCAACCCCAGAAGAACAAAAAACAAGATCAAACACGAACAGTCGAACATGGAAACGAGAATTTCAAAACCAAATACCTGTTTCAAGAATCAAAGCAAGGTAGGAGTTCTTCTTCTTCTTGAAAGCTCCAAGGCTCAAATATCCTGCTAGAATCAAAACCAATCCAATACCCACACCTCCAGCCAGCGACGCTGTGCTCCCCTTCCTGAGGTAGCCAAAAATGCCACCACCCACCAAAATCAATCCATAAGGAATAGTGAAGCAGAAATCATGCATCGTTCCCGATTGGGGTTTCCGAGAATGTCAGAAACTGAGTGATTTCGTCTCTAATTTCACAGATCAAAGAGGAATGAGGAGGATTTTTCAGTTCTTCTCAATTTCCTCATCAGCTATATGGCGCGTGGGACGCCACAGGTCAAAATTGACTGTCCACACGCCATCAACATATTTTACCATAGTACCCCTATCTTATCTTCAAAATGTCATGATTACCCTCGCCTATCTTCACCCAAAAGTCCATAAATTACGAGTTTATTTTTTAAAATGTGTAATAGATTTTTAATTTTATATCTAATATTAATTTAAAAAAAAAAACAATTATATAATTTATTAGATATAAAATTAAATTTTTATGTCTAATATAATTTTAACCTTCAATTTATAAATTTTAAAAATATTAAATTACAAATTTAGTTGTATAACTTTTAAAATTATAAATTTAGTGCATAAATTTTCATTAAAAAAAAAAACATAAATCTTCCACAAAAATAAAATAAAAATTAAAATACTAAATTAAAATTAAGAGGTGTTAAACATAAAATTTCTATTTCTATTTAATAAATAATTAATTTCATAAAAATTTAATATTTTTAAAACATATTAAATACCCATTAAAAAACATATAAGAATTTTGAAAATTCACACGCAAAAACTAAATTTGTAATTTAACTCTTTAAAAATTAAAATTTAATTTATTTGAACTATTTAGAACGGTTTTATCAAACTATCGAGACTATTTATGAGGTTCTATAAACTTTAACAACAAAAGTTAAATTTCGAAGTTCTTCCGACACGTTGACTAAATTTGTAATTTGGTAAAATATATCAAATTATATGTAACTAGGGTGATATATACATATACATATATATATACAACATATATATATGTATATGTATATATATGTTCACACAAACTATTGACAATGGAGCCGAGAGGAACTTCATGTGAATTTCTTCAGTTGATGGTTCTTCTCAGCAGCACAACCAGAGGCTGCCAATGAGGTTATCCATACTTGATCAGACTTCACTGGTTCATCATCATCATTTCTATGCCAACTCCAAAATGCATTACTTGAATTCACTATCTTCAGCTCCCCATGCCCGAAACTAGCTTCTCGAAACACCGACCATTCAGGCTGTGCAATGTACCTATCGAATACAACCAACACAATAAAACTCGAACCAAATTGGTCTACTATACATTTGCTTTAACATGTCGTCCCTTATCATTTAATATTAAGTATGTGACTTTTAAATTTGTGTTTATTTGGTCTTTGAACTTTTAAGTTTGTGTTAAGTGATTCCTTACTTGTGAGCTAAACCTTCTCGGTTTCCTCCATCGCCAATAGTTATATGCACAGCACCACAAGGATCAGATTTTCCAGCATACACACGTTTCTGCCATAGAGTGATCATGAATCAAAGGATAATAGTAGAGGAGAAAAAGCAACCCATCAAATGTTCGAATAGGACGAAGAGAAGATACCGAGCGTTCATAAGCATGGACATGGCCAGAAATTATTATGTCTGCACCAGCTGCATATAACAATGGCTCCATGGCTGCCATCATGCTTGCACCTTCACCTTGATGAGCTTTATTACTGTTGTACCATGGCACATGGAATAACACTACTAGCCAGGGTGTTCTTTCCTTATTCACCTTTGCAAGATCAGCCTATTGAACAAAAAAATATCTCAGTCCTGTAGCTCAATCATTTACCGTAGACTTTGATTATTATTTACTAGTGTTCATATAATCGTGTTAAAAAGTTTCCTAAACTTTGTAACGGTCCAAGCCCAGCGCTAACAAATATTGTCCTCTTTAGACTTTCCCTTCCGGGCTTCCCCTAAAAGTTTATAATCTAAGAATACACTCTCCATTGGTGTGAGGCTTTTTGGGGAAGCCCAAAGCAAAGCCATGAGAGCTTATGCTCAAAGTGGACAATATCATACCATTGTGGAGAGTCGTGTTCGTCTAACATGGTATCAGAGCCATGCCCTAAACTTAGCCGTGTCAATAGATTGACAAATCCTTAAATGTCGAACAAAGCACTCCAAAAGGAGTCAAGCCTCCTCAAAGGTACGAAGGCAGTCAAAAATGACTAAGACTCCAAAGGAGTCAAGCCTCGATTAAGGGGAGGCGTGCTTTGTTCGAGGGGAGGTGTTGGATGATGAAAGTCCCACATCGGTTAATTTAGGGAATGGTCATGGGTTTATAATCTAAGAATACACTCTCCATTGGTGTGAGGCTTTTTGGGGAAGCCCAAAGCAAAGCCATGAGAGCTTATGCTCAAAGTGGACAATATCATACCATTGTGGAGAGTCGTGTTCGTCTAACATGGTATCAGAGCCATGCCCTAAACTTAGCCGTGTCAATAGATTGACAAATCCTTAAATGTCGAACAAAGCACTCCAAAAGGAGTCAAGCCTCCTCAAAGGTACGAAGGCAGTCAAAAATGACTAAGACTCCAAAGGAGTCAAGCCTCGATTAAGGGGAGGCGTGCTTTGTTCGAGGGGAGGTGTTGGATGATGAAAGTCCCACATCGGTTAATTTAGGGAATGGTCATGGGTTTATAATCTAAGAATACACTCTCCATTGGTGTGAGGCTTTTTGGGGAAGCCCAAAGCAAAGCCATGAGAGCTTATGCTCAAAGTGGACAATATCATACCATTGTGGAGAGTCGTGTTCGTCTAACACGGGCTTCCCCTAAAAGTTTTTAAAACGTGTTTGCTAAGGAGAGGTTTTCACACACTTGTAAGAAAATGTTTTGTTCTCATGTGGGTTCTCACAATCTACCCCCTTCGGGGCCCAGCATCCTTGTTGGCACACCACCTCATGTTCATCCCCCTTCGAGGTTCAACCTCCTCGTTGGCACATTGCTCGGTGTCTGGCTCTGATAACATTTGTAATGGTCTAAGCCCACCGCTAGCAGATATTGTTCTATTTGGATTTTCCCTTTTGGGCTTCCTCTCAAGATTTTTAAAATGTGACTGTTAGGGAGAGGTTTCCACACTCTTATAAAAAAATGATTCGTTCTCCTCCCCAACTCTTCTCAATCAGTATTCCAATCTAATTAAACTATTTGTTCCTGTACTTCAAAAAGAATTAGAATTAATTCTATTCTGAAATAGTGGTAGAATCTCACCTAAAGAGTTATTTCAATGGCATTAAACAGTTTTCTCTCAACTGGTTAACTCTCTCACTCCATATTCATTATCAACTAGTAAAAGATTCAATCTGAAAGGAAGTCAGAAGTTTACAAACCTTCAACCATGCATATTGATCTGAGGATTCATCATAATCAGTGTACGATCCAAGCATAATCACATGAGTTCCAGCAACTTCAAAAGAATAATAGAGATTCGAACTCGATCCACTCTCCTCAAATGGCATCTTCCATCTTGCATCATACGAGTCAAATGGAGACTTAAATAGAATTATGCTCTCCTTTTCATGGTTCCCTTGAGTTACCATCCACGGTCTCGTACTCGCAAGAGGCTCCACGAGCTCACCGAACGTGTCCCACCGATGCTGCAAGTAATCGGCATAGGATAGGTCACCTGGAAGTAGAAGCACATCATATTTGCACAGATCAATGTGGTCTAATGTTGATTTGGTCCATCCAGTTTGGCCCAGATCCCCTGCCACTGAAAAAGTGATTGGCAACTGGGAAGGAGGAGTTTTCAGCTGGAACTCAGAGCCTTCCCCACCACATCGGTAGTAATAAACTGTGCCGGCCTCTAGAGGCCCAATTACTGTGTGGTGTATCTTTCCTGACTTGTACAAAATGTAAGTGTACGAGGTGCTCTCTCCTTGAGAAACAGAAGTATAGTTTCCAGGTAATGTCCCATATTCAACAAAAGAGGGAGCAGAATGATCATTAGTAATCCATGTGATCCTCATATGCTTGTCCCCTGCTAGCGAGATATGCACCTACAAGGAATAGTGCAATACATCACGCAAATGCAACTCAAACGTGTTAAATCACGACTGAACCTAAAAGCTTCGGTTGATAGGTTGTGTAACAGCCCAAACCCACCGCTAGCAGATATTGTCCTCTTTGAGCTTTCCCTTTCGACCTTTCCCTCAAGGTTTTTAAAACGTGTTTGCTAGGGAGAGGTTTCCACACCCTTATAAAGAATGTTTCGTTCTCCTCCTCGACCTATGTGGGATCTCACAATCCACCCCCTCCAAGGCCTAGCGTCCTCGCTGGCACTCGTTCCCTTCTCCAATCGATGTGAGACCCCACAATCCACCCCCCTTCAGGGTCCAGCGTCTTTGCTGGCACACCGCCTCGTGTCCACCCCTTTCGGGGTTCAGCCTCCTCGCTGGCACATTGCCTGGTGTCTGGCTCTCATACCATTTGTAATAGCCCAATTCCACCGCTAGCTGATATGGTCCTCTTTGGGTCTTCCCTTTCGGGCTTCCCCTCAAGGTTTATAAAACGCATCTGCTAAGAAGAGATTTTCACTCCTTATAAAGAATGTTTTATACTCCTCCCCAACCAACTTGGAACACAATCATTTATCATATTCTTAGCCTTCTCTTTACTTCTAGACTTGAAAACCAGTACAAAATTCAACAAATGATCATCAATCTTAAAAGGGCTTTATCGAACCTCTTGTTTTGATACCCCCTTTGCTAAATCTAAAAGCATAAGCTAATAGATTAGATTATATTTAATCATTTGTTCTTCTTTTTTCACCAGGAAGAACAATAAATTTGCCAAATCCAGGAAAAATGAACACCAAGCATAGAAAGGCAACTAAAATATCTCAGTAACAAAGAAATGATAGCATAGCAGATACCAAGATTCAACTGGTCCGAGTAAATTGAGGAAAAGGCAACCAGAATTCGATTCACCTAGAAGGAACGAACTAATGCAAAATCAAGCATGGATTCACAATGAGACTTCAAAAATATGATATAACAACAATGAAATCTCAATCGTTTCCATAGAAAATCACAAAGAAAGTTCAACAAAATGGAAATGAAACCTGCCGAGGTTGAGAAGATGATTTCGGATTCCGTGGAAAATGCAGAGTTTGGCGGGGCTGAGGACGAACATAATCAGATTCAGCGCTGAAAGTCGAGACGATTGAAAGGAAGAGGAAGAGGAAGAGGAA